ATTCTCTGAGCTACAGGGAGCCAGTGTAATGACTTTATATAATATAAATAAGGAACATCAGCAGAGCACTCTTTGTATTCTGGTTAAATTCCTATATAAAAACAACGTTCCTAAGTACCTGTCACTTCACTGTTAAATCCTGAAGCAATTACATCAGGATTCATGGAGGAGTTTCAGTCTGGTTTGTGAAAGTATGTGGTTATTTACTTGAAACTATTACAAGTTCACTTGAACTAAAATAAGGACAATACTGTAAATATTTCTCAGCATTACTGGGTTTTTTTTCCTTAAAATTCCTGCTGGACTCCCGGGAAAGCGAGAGAGAATTTTTAGAGGAATCTAAAGAGCTGGTGTCTGTTTCACTGAACACTTACATTGTTGTGCCAGTGAGCAGGAGGCTTGTTAGGAGGCCCGGTGTTCTGCAGAGACTGCCACACATTACTGTACTCCTCTTTGTTCTGGATGGAGAGAACGACATATGTATAAACAGTCATATCACACATTGTTGAGAGACTATAACAGTTGGGCCAAATGGAGCCAAACCTGCTCTTACCCTGACCTGGTGCTTTTGGATGGGACCTTTTGAGGGAGAGCTCCTGTTGCCCTGTGAGGCCGCCTTCGCCACGCCATGTTTGTTGTTATGCTACAAATAAAAAGCAGTTGGAACAGTGAAAGAAGAGACAGAGGAGGGGTTTAGGTGAAACTATGGAAATTCCAAATCATTTCCACTATTCCAAACTGGGGAATAATTTGTACATGAGTCTACTGTGTGCATATTCCTCCTACCTGTGTGGGGATAAAAGGCGAACGAGGGGAGTGGTTTAGGCCTGCCAGCTGCCGGTACGAGCTGAAGTTGCCGCCAGTGGCAGGCTGCGGTTTGACGATGGCGGTGAGTTTGTGGCCGGTGTGATCAACCCGGGCTCCGTGGGAAAGGTTGATCAGGGCGCAGGGAGGGAGGCGGTAACAACGAGAAGATGTACACCTGAGGAAGCACACAAGCTGTTACAGTCTGCTGTAAAGAGGAACACCTTCACTCCAACAGTGTCCTGTTATGGACATGATTTTGTGTTTTACCCTCTTCTTGTGCTTTATGTAGCAGTTTTGTAAAAGCCTGTGCACTCTGCAGCTTTTTCTGTCTGGTGTGAAGAAACTGAACACTGAAGTTGAAGGTATGACGTAGTAATTCAGTCAAAGAAGAAAAAAATCTTGTCAATTATTGTCAAAGTAACAGTAGGTTTTAATTAAGCTTAGTTAGCTATCTAACACTGAGCCATGAGCTATTAGTTTCAGGGTGACTGTGACTTTAAGACAAACGAACACTTTTATCCATTCAGAGTTGCTTTGGAGGAGGACTCACTGATCTGGCCTGTGATCTGCTCACACGGGTGTTTGTGTGCAGTGACCAAACTACTTGGGGAATCTGTTTGAACAACCATCTAGAATTTTTGCTTAACAAATCTGCTTTAAACAACTGTTGGGAACCATTAACGGATGATTACTCCTGCCATC